GTGTATCTGTTCCATGATGTCTGCAGCCTCATCTAGGAAGCTCACACACATTGGGGTTACTTGAGGCTGGTGACTGGAATCACTTGGAGGCTTCTTTATTTACATGTCAGATACCTGGACAGGGACAGCTCAAAAGCTGGATCCATCTGGTGCTGTCAAACAGAGTACAGACATATGACTGCTCCTTATGGCTTGGACTTCTCACAACATGATGGCTAGTTTCCAAGAGGGGTCATCTTCAGAGGAAGCTTCCACACAACAAGCACTGCCTTTTGTGATCTAGACTCAGAAGTCACACACATCACTCCTGCTATACTCTTTTGGTTGAAACAGTCACGAAGAAGGAGTCTCAAAGAATTTGTGACTGTTCTTAAAAGCTGTCACGATATCATACAATAATAATGATGATAACAAATAATAAATACTGGTGCTTGCTGTTTTGGCTAAAAGGTCAAAGATAGGGATTATAATAGAAAGAGCAGTTGGGGGAGATAATGAGCTCATTTATAGACCCAATCGGCTGAAGCTAACTGTGGGCTAGCAGGGACAGCTAGTGAGCAGTTAGTGGCATAGATAGGTCTACAGCTCAGAGAGTTCTTGGAAGTCATCAAATGGGAAAGAAAATTCTGTGGGTGACCGAGACTGGCCAGAGAAAGTTAGAAGGATGGAAAGAGGGAAAGCCTAGCACAGAATCCTAGCAAATACCCACACAGAGGGATGGGCAGAGAAGCTTATAGGAGAGACTAAGAAAAAAATAAACAGAAAACCAAGAAATTATTGTGTCACAGAAGCCATGAGAAAAGAGAATTTTTAAAAATTAGTATAAAATGTTGGGGACTATAGATGTTCTTTCCAAAAAACTATCCAAAAACAAAGACTAACCATATCACTTAACTGTGCAGAACACTTCACAAGTTCTCCATTGCCTTTAGATAAAATCCTAGCTTTGTAACAGGGCTGGCAAAGCTCTCCATGAGCTATCCTCTACCCACTATTCAGCCTCATCTCTCACCACGAGCCCCTTAGGTTTCCTACGAAAAACAACTGATGTTCCCCTAGTCACCCATGCTTTTTGAAGTCTTTATGGCTTTGCATACTTTATGCACTTTGCCTCTACTGCTCTTCACTCTCCCGTCTCTATACCTGACTAACTCCTATACATCCTACAATACCCAGGCTCAGTTGAGACCCTTCCTATGTACTGTAATAGCCCTCTGTGTGTACACCTAATAGAGTACCTGTCAGACTGATGCGTAATTACCTATATACCCAACTATCTCCCTTACCAGATTGTGAGTTTCTAGAGGCGAGGAGTGTCTTTCATTCATTTTTTACCCCAAATACTTAATGCAATATTGGCCTGGCACATACAGTTGTTCTGATTATGACTTGTTGACTGAAAAAGACGTTAGTAGTGAAAGGGATATCACGTTTAGGGAAATTTTTTTAGGTTTGAGGTTTGTTTTGGTATGAAAGAGATTTAAGCATGTTCACAGAAAGGGAAAATTGAAAGAGGTTCAGGATCCAGAAAATGCATGGACTAGCTGGTAGGATCCGATACTAGAGGCAACAAGAAGGGAATGGGTCAAAAACACCAAAGGAATGAGATAAGGTGGTGTGGTTGTAAGACAGGGTGCAGATAATGAAAATACAGCTCATATCTGATGTGACAGGTATTCTTTGTCCCTGGAGACTACTAGTACAGCACCTGACACAAATGAGTAGATAGTTGTTAATAAGTAATGAGGTCCAAGCAGGGAACTTGCACGAAATAACAGAATGAATATCTGAGCCTACACTGTCACCCAGATCTCCTGATTAGAAGACCCCTATGTATTTCAGTTTAGGGGGGAGGGAAGCTGGGAGAGACAAGGCCCAGCCATATCTCTGAGGTATGTACCCCACCTTCTCAAGGGACCTCATTAGAGATGTTTAGCAAGGTAGGTGTAAGCCTAGGCCCTGGGAGACAGGGCAGGGCGCTAGAGCCACACTGCCTCCACCCCTTCAGTAGTACTGGCCCTGGTTGTGTTGCTAAGAGCTTCAGAAGCCAAAGATAAAGCAGTTGCAGCTCGCGACCAAGAGCGGCCTAACCAGGCAGTTGAGCATTAACCTCTACCTCCTGAAGCCACCTACAGAAAGAGGCCTTGGATTATCTTATACCCAGGCACCAGGACACAGAACCATGAGCCAGGACAACAAAGTAAAGACGACAGAGTCCAGCCCCCCTGCCCCATCCAAGGCCAGGTGAGAGATCCTGGTCTCCTGTGTCAGGTCTGTCTATTTCACTAAATGGAGCCTGATTCCTCTTCATGGCCCCAGTTACAACCTCAACACTTAATGATGAATAAATGAAAGTACTTCCCCTCTTGCCCACAGGAAGTCTCTGCCTGTCCTGGACCCATCTGGGGATTACTACTACTGGTGGCTGAACACGATGGTCTTCCCAGTAATGTATAACCTCATCATCATCGTGTGCAGGTTTGGCGGGAGCTAAGGGAAGGGACTTAGCAGAGACAAGGGCTAAAGAGTGAGGTGCAGGAGAGGGGCAGGGCCTAAGGAAGGGCCCACTGGGGAGTGCTCAGTAGTTTGGGGAGACTGCCACACACACAGAGGGTGCTCTTAAGCCAATCTCTTCTGTCCCCTTCTCCCCCATGCAGAGCTTGCTTTCCCGACTTGCAGCACAGTTATCTCGTGGCCTGGTTAGTGCTGGACTACACGAGTGATCTGCTATACCTACTGGACATCGTGGTGCACTTTCACACAGGTCAGTGAGTCCCAGGACTGACTCTTTGTTCCCAGTCTCCTTTCTAAAGAGAGCCTCTTAATAACAAGAAAGTGACCCCCCACCCCCGCAATAGCACTTTCACATGCCTCTATGCTTGACAACATCCCTTATACACACCCCAGAAATCCTGGAATAGGGTTATACCTGCCCCCACTCTGTCCCTGTAACTGTCTCCTGTCCTACCCTACCCTGCCCAAACTTGCCCTTATTACTGGAGCAAGCAGGTGCCCTAACTCAGCCCCATACCTGACCCCATCGCACAGCTGACCCCACCTGTCTTCCCCTTCCTCTCCTCAGGATTCTTGGAACAGGGCATCTTAGTGATGGACAAGGGTAGGATTTCTAGTCGCTATGTTCGCACCTGGAGCTTCTTCTTGGACCTGGCTTCGCTGGTGCCCACAGATGTGGCTTATGTGCAGCTGGGCCCGCATACGCCCATGCTGAGGCTTAACCGCTTTCTGCGTGTACCCCGCCTCTTTGAGGCTTTTGACCGCACAGAGACCCGCACGGCTTACCCAAACGCCTTTCGCATCACCAAGCTGATGCTCTACATTTTCGTGGTCATTCACTGGAACAGCTGCCTCTACTTTGCCCTGTCCCGGTACCTGGGCTTCGGACGTGATGCCTGGGTGTACCCGGACCCTGCACAGCCTGGCTTTGAGCGCCTGCGGCGCCAGTACCTCTACAGCTTTTACTTCTCCACGCTGATCCTGACCACCGTGGGTGATACGCCGCTGCCAGCACAGGAGGAGGAGTACCTCTTCATGGTGGGCGACTTTTTGCTGGCTGTCATGGGTTTCGCCACCATCATGGGTAGCATGAGCTCTGTCATCTACAACATGAACACTGCAGATGCAGCCTTCTACCCAGACCACGCACTGGTGAAGAAGTACATGAAGCTGCAGCATGTCAACCGCCGGCTGCAGCGGCGAGTTATTGACTGGTAAGGTTGCTGGGGATTCAGACCAGGACAGGGAGAGGAGTATTGGATAGAATCTGAGGCAGGTATCTGGCTTCTTATTGCCTGGTGGACCAGGAAAGCAGTCAGGAGGTCATTTATTGGGGGGGTCCACTGGATAGGGCTCAGAAAAAGATGTTGTCTACTAATATGATCTGTACTTGAGGGAAAGGGTTTTGTGAGAGACTGATTGGGAGAGGAAGTTATGCACTGGAAGGATAACCTGGAGACCTGGGATTGGGAACTGCCACTGCCTGGTAGGACTCAGAAGGAGTGAGGGAAGGAGGGAAGGATAAGAGGAATACCCCCAGGGCATGACCAATGATGAGATGGCTGACTAGGTCATGGCACTCCATACTCTGGGCTAAATGAAAGGAAGTGTCACCAACTAGAGCAGAGGCCTCTAGAGAAGATGAGGCTTGGTGATTGAAGTGGATATCGGTGAGATGGTATGAGTCATCACTGATTGGTGGGTGGGGTAGAACCTGACAGGAGGAAAAGGGTGTCTTTTTCATTGTCTGCTGGTAGAGGCTCCCCAGCCCTGGGCAAAAGAGAAAAGGTCAAATCATATCTGTGACCAGCAAAGGAGACTGTGAACTAAAGATATTCATCAGCCAACCATCAAGTATTCCCATGACCCCTGTGAGAACTCAGTGTGGTTGGGCTCTTGACTGAAGCTGAGCTGAGCCTGATGGAAGAAGTGGAGGGAGGCACATAGGAGGCTGGTGAGTAACTGGTACTGCCCTTGTCCCCAGGTACCAGCACCTGCGGATCAACAAGAAGATGACCAATGAGGTAGCCATCTTACAGCACTTGCCCGAGAGGTTGCGGGCGGAAGTTGCTGTGTCTGTACACCTGTCTACCCTGAGCCGGGTGCAGATCTTCCAGAACTGTGAGGCCAGCCTGCTAGAGGAGCTGGTACTGAAGCTGCAGCCCCAGACCTACTCACCAGGCGAATACGTCTGCCGCAAGGGGGATATTGGCCGAGAGATGTACATCATCCGCGAGGGTCAACTGGCTGTGGTGGCAGATGATGGCATCACACAGTATGCTGTGCTTGGTGCAGGGCTCTACTTTGGGGAGATCAGCATCATCAACATCAAAGGTAGGCACCCCAGCATTTGTTCTGGAGACATAGCTGGGGGCGAGGGGGACAGAAGAACCCAGTACTAAGACCAGATGGTACCTCAGGCCCAGATAAAGACACCCTTTCTTGAGTTACGAGAGGGCTCAGGAGAGAAGCAGGACATGGAGGGTCTGTTCCCTGAGAAGAAACTGAAACAAGGTCAGTGAGCAGGGTGGTCCCTTGGAAGACAGAGTAGACCTGCTCTGTGGGTGCCAATATGAGGCACCAGCAGACCAGGGGAAAGTGGCAGAAATAGTAATAATAATATTTATTGTATGCTTACTATGTGCTCTGATCAAAGTACTTTACATGTACCAACTCAAATTCTCTTAGCAACTATATAGAGTAGGTAAGGAAATTTTAGTGCAGAGAGGTTTAAGAACTTGTCCAAAGTCAAACAGGTAATAAGTACACACACTTGGAGTTAGCACAAGGAACAGCTTTCTCACAGCAATTGGAAAGGAGGAAATTCATATTTACTGAACACCAGCTCCAGTAAGGGCCAGGTACTGTTCACTAGCTCATTTATTTCTCTTATCAGCCCATGCAATAGGGGTTGTTATGCCTAATCACAGGTAAAGACACTGAGGACACAGGAGATGAGAAAATCTGGAGGGTAGGTGAGAACACTGTGACTGACTGAGGCTAGATGTGCTCGCAGTATGGGAATCCCATTCTTCAGTTGCCCTAAAGGCCTCACATCTGTCCTCAAGCTGCATGTGCCATATGCAGTCAACTGCTGTCTACCTGATTTTGGACAAGTCATTCCCCTTTTTTAGTCCTCAGTTTCCTCACCTGTCCAATAGGGATGATATTAAAAATCCCAAAAATTATTTGTGAGGATTAAATGAGCTGTATGGGAGAGGCACCTAGCGCAGTGTCTAGCATGTAGCAAGTGTTCAACAAATGGTAGCTCCTTTTCCCCTTCTAAGGTCCTTTTAGCTCTAAGACTTTGCAGCATTCGACCCAACCTATCTTCCCAACTCCCCACCTACCACCAGTACCTTCTTAAAATGCTAATGAGACCATACAGCTCCCTTGCTTAGACTATTTCAGTGGTTTTCCCCCACCCTTCCCTCAGCATAAGGTCTGAACTCCTTGCCATGGTTGTGAGACCCGGAGTGACCTGTCTTTCCCCTCCTCTTTCCACTGTCCTCACAACCTGCACTTGAGCCACTTTGGCCTGCTTCTTGTTTTCTGCACCCACCTAACTCTTTCCTACCTCCATCCCTCTGCTCTTGTTCCTCCCTTTGCCTAGCTGCCCTTCTACCACCCCACTTCCCCTAGTTACTTCCCCCTCAGTCAGGCATCACTTCTTCCAGGCTCCCTAAATTCTCTGCCTTACAGTTAGGGGCTCTTTGCCTGTCTTCTCACAGTACCAGACGTATATGTCTACACTGCACCAGCTATACTGATATGTAGCTATCCAATCAAATATCTTTCTCCTCTAGAGTGTGACTTATTGGAGGCAAGTCACTGATATCCCCCAGCACAGGGTCCAGTCCCCATTACATTACTGAGTGAAAAAATTACTGAGGCAGAAAGACAGGTTCAGAAGCACAAATATGGAGGTGGTCCTGGTTCAGGAGTGAAATGTTCCCTCACGCCGACTCTGACTCCTCCTACCTGCTGCCCATGTGCCACAGGGAACATGTCTGGGAACCGCCGCACAGCCAACATCAAGAGTCTAGGTTATTCAGACCTGTTTTGCCTGAGCAAGGAGGACCTGAGGGAAGTGCTGAGTGAATATCCACAGGCCCAGGCTGTCATGGAGGAAAAGGGTCGTGAGATCCTACTCAAAATGAACAAGTTGGATGTAAATGCTGAGGCAGCTGAGATTGCCCTACAGGAGGCCACAGAGTCAAGGCTGCAAGGTCTTGACCAGCAACTGGATGATCTGCAGACCAAGTTCGCTCGCCTCCTGGCTGAGCTGGAGTCCAGCGCACTCAAGATTGCATATCGCATTGAACGGCTGGAGTGGCAGACTCGAGAGTGGCCGATGCCTGAGGAATTGGTGGAGGCTGATGATGAGGGCGAGCCTGGGGAAGGAACATCTAAGGGTGGGGAGGTCAGGACTGGCCAAGAAGGATCCCCATGCCCAAAGTGACCCCATCCTTATTCCTAGAAACCCCAACTGCAAGTGAATCCAGAGTTGTAGGAAAGCCTGCCTACAGAAACTCTGCCATCCTATCTGCTGGGTTACAAAGCTGGGAGTGAACTAAATCCGTAGATGCCCACCTGGAGATGTACATGTATAGCACACATTGACCCCACACACACACACACTCACCAGCACACAGACAGACACACACACACACACACACACACACACACACACAGAGTTGCGCATATACACACTGGCCCCCAAGACAGTGCATTGCATATAAGATGCTCTGGAGTTTCCATTCTCAGAGCACACATGCTTTCTCATATAGATATGTCTTATACCCACATGATATATACAAATTCAGTTATGTAACTTGTAGCACACATATACTGAGAATCATACACCAATAGACACACATAGATGCCTTCCACAGGTGTGCACTTACTTGCGAACACACAAAGGTACACTCAGAGCCCTTTTGTTCCAAGATAGCCTTTAAATGCCCCTCATATGGTGTCACAAGTGTACCCTGCAAATTGCACTTCAATAAAGTATTTTCCTCCTCACTAAGCATTTATGGGGCTGATGGAAAAAGCTTTAATAGTCGGCAAGGATGACTTCTCTCTGAAATCTGAATCACAGGGGTGAGCAGCATAGGCTGTGTAGTAGCTAGTGGGTTGGATTCAAAGGGACTGAGGTACCTGATGAATAGAAAATCAGTACAGAGCCAAGCGAGCAGGCTTATACATCACACTGCTGTAAGTGTGCACATGCGTTCATAGATATATTCACATACACACACTCCGGGGCCTGGCCAGTCTTTGTGTCTGAGCTGTGCCATGTGGTATTTTTAAATGTACCTGGGATTTAATTAGCAGTATGACTGAGTGATGACACAGAGAGGTCAATGCCATTAAAAGAAGAATTTATTACTTACAATCCCCAAGAGGAGGGGGCACAGTATACCATGCAAGACCACATGGGGAAGAACCGGGGTTGGTTAGAAGGCCAAAAGAAAAAAAAGAAAAAAAATCAGGAAATCACGAGCAAAAGGTCTTTATTACTTTAGTGGTAGAAAGTTTTTAGGTGGAGAAGTCTCCTATTAAACAGAAAGTGAAACACAGATTTGAGGGCTTGTGGAAGGTTAATAATATGATTTCCAAGCATCCATAAAACCAAGACCACAGAGAGAGGTTTGGTCATTAGTTTGGCCCATAATTTCAAGATGCCAAATCATCAATTACAGAATATCAAGAATGATTATTACAGGTGTTACAAGAGAATATAGAGTAGAGCCATCAGTGCTAGAAGGACAGGAGGTGTGGGGAGCATCTGCCTATGTGTGATCATGGAGACAGACCCTCAAAGCTGTTGGAGTCTTCAAAGCTGACCAAGCCTTTGGATACAGTGGATGCAGGCAACATAGATGTGCTCAGACATGAACAACTTGGAACAACACTTTCTCAAATAGCTGTAGAAACTGAGGCTGTGACTGAAGTCAAGATGTCAGGAAAGGTGATGAGGGATATTGCATACTAAATTATTTTTAAAATATATGGTTATTTTGTGATATTCTCACAAAAGATGAGATCCATAGGGTTAGCACTAGGTCTCTCTTGTTCATCTATAAATCCTCAGGGCCAAAACTGTGCCTGGCACATAGTAAGTACCCAAATATATATTTGGCAACCAAAGAAATGAGAGATTAGGTAGATAGAGGCCCAATGTTTGAGGAAGATGTGTGTCAATTTCTCAAAAGATTTTCCTACCATCTCTGCCCTTAAATCACGTTGAGCTAGAATGGGCCCTTTTGATGATACCTGATGGATTTATGGATCTGGAAATAAACTTTTCATTGGCACCCTATAATGTGCAAACCTATCCCAAATAAATGCTCTCAGAACAGGTGGCCCTACCACCCGTAAAATCCTGGTCTACAGCTCAAGGAGGGTGAAAACTAGTATCTTCCCTATCCTGGATACAGAAACAAAACTCTCCTGGGGCCCACTGTACACTTTGCTCTGCTTCTGCTTTTCTGGGATGAGATCAAATTCCTCATGGTGGAGCCACCATGCCAGAAGACAACTTGGATATTAGCAATTCCATGCAGGGGTTCTCTAGTTGTGGAATGATTTCCATCATTGTGTGAAAGACAATGTTTTGACAATTTGGGATTCAGCTGGATAGAGTTAGGTGAAAATGGGCAGAAGGTAATCCAAATTTTAAGTTCCTGGAATAGCCAAAAAATAACAATAACCTTTTAGAAAACTTTACTTACATGTTCATTTGGGTACATTTTATTCCTCCTATTATAAGAGAGTGCCAAAACTTTGTATCCCATGGACTTAAAGCTTTTTGAATTGCAACATCAAAAACAGAATTTTTCAGAAACTCTCTGCCTTAGCTTTTGTTTGTGAAGAGCAAGACTCCTAAGTTTTCACAAACAATTTTCCTAGTGAATTGTGCCCAGTTACCTGTGAGGGCTTAGAGTCAAAGAAGCAAAGTCTTCTGGACCCAAGGAGAGGAGATTTCCCAAGACTAAGAAAAGGAATGGGATTCTTGCACATTATATTAGTTTTCTTTTGCTGTTGTAACAAATTAGCACAAATCTAGCAGTTGAAAACATCACTCATTTATTATCTCACAGTTCTGTGAGTCAGAAATCTAGGCACAGCATTACTCAGTTGGGTCTTCTGTTCAAGGTGTCAGTTGGGCTGAGCTCTTTTCTGGAGATCCTGGCAAAGACTCTGCTTCTAAGATCATTCAGGTTGTTAGAAGAATTCAATCCCTTTGGTTGTAGGACTTTTATTTCCTTGACACATGGCCCCTTCACCTTCAAGACAACAAAGGCACATTAAATCTTTCTCTTCTCCAAACCTCTTAGCTCCTTATTCATTACAAGAAAGATCTCTGCTTTGTAGGGCTTGTGTGATTAGGTTCACCCAGATTATCCTGGATAATCTCCTGATTTTAAAGTCAGCTAGTTATTAACCTTAATTACATCTGCAAAGTCTCTTTTGCCATAGTCACAGGAATAACACCAGAGGGAAAGGTAATGGGAGCCAAAAATCTACCTATCCATACTTTGCTGGTGGGACTGCAAATTAGTACAGCCACTATGGAAAACAGTATGGAGGGGTCTCAAAAAACTAAGAATTAATCTAACATATGATCCAGCAATCCCTCTACTGGCTATTTACCCCAAAGACTTAAAAACCCATATCCAAAAAGATATTTGCACACTGATGTTCATAGCAGCATTATTCACAGTGGCCAGCACATGGAAGCAACCAAAGTGTCCTAAAATAGATGACTGACCAAAAAAGCTGTGGTACATATATACAATGGAATATTACTCAGCCATAGGAAGAGATGAAATACTGCCATTTGCAACAACATGAATGGACCTCGAGATAATCATGCTAAGCTAAATAAGCCAGACATAAAAGGTTGAAAATCACATGAGCTCACTTACATGTGGGGTATAAACCTAAAAGCAACAAATGAACAGGACAAACAAATAGAGACTCATGGATATGGACTATAGATTAGTGGTTACCAAAGGGAAGGGGTGAGGGGGAAGGGGGAAAAAATAAAAAAATAAAATGTTAAAAATAATAATAAATAAATAAATAATCTACCTATCACAGGGTTTCTGGGGACCCCACTTTCACAGGGGCCCCAGAATAGGAAACACTAAGAATTGAGTCTTCGGAAACTGAAGGAAGATTACCTACCTGGCCTTGGGGCTTCAGAACAGCGCCCCCTAGGGGTACAGCCGGCTCTAATTAGGTGCAAATAAGCATAATCAGCTTGGTCTGAAGGTCTCGGCCCTCCCCATCTCTAAATATTCTGTCCAATATAAAATCCCCAGAGAATTTTGCAAGACACTAAGTTGGGGGAAGAGAGGGTGTAAAGAAAGCCATAAAACACAAGTGAGATTAAATATTCCATAAGGTAGATAGTTGAAAGCTTAGATGGAAATAGTCTGATTTAGAGAATCAAGAAAATGTTCAATTTTTTACACAGTTATGGCATCATTCATAACTGCTATACATACATTATCTCATTTAGTTCTTAGAACAATATTAGGAAGTTTAAATTGTTAATATATTCATTTTTCCAGGTCAGAAAACTGAAGCCCATAGAGCAACTAAAAACATTAGATATTATTTACTGTAAAGCTATTTTATACTAGTTCCTGGGCTAAGTGCATTATCTTAATTAATCCTTACAACTATATGAAAAAGATGCTATCATTGCCCCCATTTTGAAATAAGAAAGCCAAGGCTCTGAGTGATTAGATAACTTGCCCAATATCACAAGGACCGTAAGTCACATGGAATGAAATCTAGGTCTGTGTTACTGCTTCTTTTAGAAAGATAAGGAAAGAGACTACCTCAGCTTGAAGCAAGGCCAGGCAAGCTGCCTTCCTTTCTTGGGAATGACTGTTGCAGGCGGTAACGGTGGTAACCAGGGGAGAAGGAGTCAGTTGTGCATAGCAAAGATTGTGAATCACCAGCAAGCCTGCCCAGTGTGCTCAAGTGTGATCTTAGGGCTGCAGCCAAAGACAAGGGACCCACAGCTTTAAGGAAGAACTGCCAATTCCAGCTTTTCTGTCTGCACACATGCAGCTATGGGAGGAAAGCAGAGTTTTAGAGTCACTATTAGATTCCTACGGGGGTGTCAAGAACTGTTCAAGGGGCTTCCTATTGCGAGCCCAGCTGCTTCTGGCTTAGCTCTTCTCCCTCCCACAAAACCTAGAGCCTCACCCACTCCCCTCCATAGGTCACTACTTAGCACACCTCAGCCTGGCTAAGAATTGGGATGGACACTCCTCCTCAGTGTTTCCAATTAGCTACTTCCTCATAGAAGCTTCATTGGCCCTCGCCACTTCATCCTTTTATTTCTGAGGGTTTGACTGCTAGCCTCCAAAGATATATGGAAATAAAGTATCAAGCTCGGAAGAAATCAGATTTATAGGGAAAGGGGCCATTCAACCCAAGGAGAGATCTAGTGGTAGGTGGATTCTCGCCTGGGGCTGAAGCTAGGGTTTGGCTTGAGGCTTTGATCAGAGATGGATGGTCAAGCTGGGTTACAGCTGGGGTCAGAGTCATGACCCAAGTCAGAGTTCTAAGCTTGCCTGAAAGCACAACAGATGAGAAAAAGCTTAGAGTCAATCAGGTGCTTGGAGCCAGAGTTAGCTTTTAATTCTGAAACAGTTCTTACTGTCTGGGGAATTCTTGGCCTTCTACAGAATTTTTAAAGGTTGTTGAAAGAAATGCTTAGAGAATTAAAGTGTAAATAAGACAATTAATGTGAATTGCAGATAACAATTGCTTAATAATGAATAGTAGCAGCAGTTGTGCCTTTGAGGGCAACGGGGCACAGGTTGTCTGACCTGGTTTGACTCTGGGCCTTGGGTGGTGCTGGCAATGCCAGTCCTGGCCAGCAGAGGGCACAGAGGTCTGCTCCTCTTCCCTTCCTTATAGCTCCCTCCCAGGCCTCAGGTTGCATTGCCTTGTAAATTTGGGAGAATAACCCAGGGAGAAATGGAATCTTAGGGGAAAAAACGTGATCTCGACTGGTTTGCGAAACTTCTTGTTCAGATTTTTTTTTTAAAATACTTAAATACAGCAATGGTGGTGCTGAGAGGCATTTCAGAGGAAGTTGTGCCAAATCAGAGCCTGAGATAGCCCTGTTGGGGACAGCATCATCTAATGGCTGGGAGCGTTCTGGACTGCCCTCGCCACAGCTTGAAAACTCTTTGTACTTTTCACCCAGAAAGCCTTGGTCCTCTGTGTCTGGCGTTGCCTTTCCAGTTTCAGTGCCTTGGCCTATTGCCCTCAGCATTGCCACTGACCAACAGGTCCCATAGGGCCCCAGATGCTAATAACACAGATGTGTTCGTTGAAGCCCTCTCTCTGGGTGACTTCCTGAGTGAGTCTTCCTGTGTCTTTTTTAGCCCCCAAGTGAGGCCCTGATATGAAAGATCCAGGCCCCTCTTGTCCTACTTGTGAAAGCCTATATATGAAGCCAAGTGTAACGATCCAGTGGGAGCCAGCCCTGCTCTCCCCAGCACAAGCCCCAGGCTCTGGAAGGCCTGTCCTATCACCTGTTTTTTTCCCTCTGCCCAACATCCCTGTCTGCTCTGGCTCCAGCCCATCTGTCTTCTTAGACCGCTCTTTCTTTCATTATCCCAAGAGAAGGGCCTCCTACGTGGGCAGGGAATGTGTGGGCAGGAGCTCAGCACATAAGCATATCTTCACATCATAGAAATGCAGAGAAAAGAAGGCCTTGAAAGATGTGGGGAGATGACAGCCTAACCAGCCACAGAAGGAAGGGCTGAGCCGATGGGGATTGTGGGCACCCCAAGGACTAAACTTTGACTGGCTTCTCTTCCAGACTGCAACCCAGCTGTGTGTGTGTGTGTGCGTGTGTGTGTGTGTGTGTGTGTGTGTGTGTGTGTGTGTGTGTCGGAGCCAGGAGTGCTGGAGGCTGAGCCCTACTGCGTGACCTTCACACCGCTGTGTGTTTTAGTACTGGGTTTCCTGAGCAAAGTGCTGATATTTTGTGGACCTGAAAGCTACCTAGAATAAGCAGTTCCTTATAAGGCAAATTATCTGGCTGTGCATTAGGCACTATATTCTCGTCTTGTTAGTTGTTTCTGCTCAACATTTACTGAAGTGTTGTTTAAATATTCCCCTCTTATCTCAGTTGTGATATAGAATGTTGAAAGAAGGACCTGCCTACACTTGGGCCAGTGGGGCAGTAGCTGGGTGATTGAGACTTCCCCAGGGAAAAAGTAAATTGTTCTTACTACAAGAGTCAAGCTAGGTGGGCTAGCACCCCCCTCCAAAACAGAGAGAGAGAGAAAGAGAAAGTGAGAGAGACAGAGAGAGACAGAGAGAGAGAGACAGAGAGAGACAGAGAGAGACAGAGAGAGACAGAGAGAGAGAGAGACAGAGAGAACAACAACAACAAACTGACAACCTTGGTAGGTCAAGGCTTGAGTCAGAAAGGTGGCTTCCTTCAGGACTGACCCTGCTTCAGGAAACCTTGTACGTGCTTCCTTGACCTCTTAGCTTTCTGACTTGTTCTGGGACAAGGGTCCAGGTCTCTTCCCTCTGGCTACCCATACTGACTTTGCAGTTCCCTCCTTTCTCTCATCTAAAGGTCCCATTTCCTGGCCCTGAGCAACCCCATTCTCTCCAAATACTGGCTTAATCTCTGGCAGAGATGGAATTTCCTGGTTTTAAGAAATGAGCTTCAACCCTCTTAGCATTGCATTTTCATCCCCTCCTCTACTCAAGAGAGAGTCCACTCTTCTTTTTTAAGAACTTGATCTGGGAGCTGTTCTTATCACTTCCACCCACAACCACTACTCAGAACATAGTCATAAAGCCACACAGCTGGGAAAAAAAAATATATATATAGGAAATATATTGTTATCCAGTTAGCCATGACTTATTTTCAACTATAATTATTCTCTTCTACTAACTTCTTTTCTACCATTGAATTTCTACTATCAAAATCTAGAACCCACACACAGTCTGGGTTCCATGCTTTCCTGCCTTCTCAGGAGTCTTGCATTAGTAATTAACTTCTCTTACAACCTCACCACAATGACGCTTTCTCCAAGGTTGCCAAGGGTCTCCAGCACTGAATTCAGAGCTCGTTTCTGTTCTCGTTGTCTTGGTCCAGGAGCGGCATCTGAATCAGTTTAGCACTTTCTCCTTTTGCTGTTTTGACTCCTTGTTCTCCTTATTTTCCTTCTATCCTTTTCTGCTCCTCTCGATCTCTTTTACAAGCTGTTCTTTCTCTACAAGCTGTTCTTCTGACCTGGTTCCTCATTTCTTCTGTTCAACAAACTCTCATTAACTATATGGCTTACATTATTTTCTAGACAACCTTTAGATTCAGCTTCCTAGTAGAATTCCTACTTACATGTCTAATAGGCATCTGAAACATAATGTGTTCAAAATGAAACAGATTTACTACTAGGAGTTGCTGTCTGATAGTTACTTTTTTCTCTATGAAGAGGGAGGCTGGCTTATTTATTGTGAGTGAAGGATGGGGGTGTGTGTGTGTGTGTGGTAAAATTAGAGTTTATGAGTTAAACTTTTTTTTTTTTTATGCCTACAGCACCCTGTCTTCCTAAGTGGTCTCCCATCCAAGTACTAACCGGGCCCAACCCTGCTTAGCTTCCAAGATCAGATGAGATCGGGTGTGTTCAGGGTGGCATGGCCGTAGAATAAATTTTTTAAAAAACATTGTGTAAAATTAGATACAGAAGGTGATCAGAGAATTTTAGTAAAACTTACTCATCTTAGGAAGCAGCATAGTATGAGCAGCTGGATTCTGATTTCCAAACTCCCTAGCTTTAAATTATGGCTCTTTTACCTAGTAGCTCTGTGGCTTTGGTCAAGTTACTAAAACACACTCTGAGCCAGTTTTTTCCACCTGAAATAGTCATCAATAATATCAGGCCTAAATTTGTAGTTCTTTGTGAGGATGTGATTGGAACATAGTAAGAGATAATCATAGTTCCTATCCTAAGTTACCAGAAACCTCATTCATTTTAATTTCATCCTTCTCGTCACCATCCACACACAAACAGTCTCTAAAGTCTGTCTTTTTACCTCCTAAATAGCTCTTGAATCCATCTTCACTACCTCTGTGACTTTAGTTCAAGCTGTCATTTCTCACCTGAATTACTACCATGGACTTCTAATTGGTCCGACCCCTTAGGTTGCTCTCCACACCACCTGCCACCACAATCTTTCCAACTCTTTCTAAACTTAACAAATTCCCAATCCTCTACTTCTTCCTTGCATAGTTCCTAGGGGTCTGCATTTGCTATTTCCTTAGATGAAAGGTGTGTTATTTTCTATTGTAACAAATTATCAAAAGTTTGGTGGCTTAAAACATACATTTATTAGCTCACAGACATGTAGGCCAGAAGTCTGGTACAGGATGGCTGGATTCTTTGCTTGGGATATCACAGGCTAAAGTCAGAGTATCGGCCAGCCTAAATTCCCTTCTGGAGGCTCTGGGGGAAAACCTGCTTCCAAGCTCATTCTTGTCATTAGCAGGATTCGGTTCCTTGTAGTTGCAGAACTAAAGTCCCTATTTTCTTGCTGGCTGTCAGCCAGAGACTGCTCTCAACTACAGGCCACTCTCAAGTACTTGCTCTGTGCCCTCTTCCATTCTCCAATCAGCCACCCTCATTCCTCGCCACATGGCCCCTGCCATCTTTAAACCAGCAACAGCATTATCGAATCTCATTTTTCAAATCTCTCTAATGCTGTCAACCAGAGAAAACTCTTGGCTTTTAAAAGATTCACAGGACTAGTTGGATAGCCTCTCTATTTTCAAGTCAACTGGTTAATAACATTAATGACATCTGCGAAATCCCTTTTTTCCATATGACATAATCATAGGAGTAGTACCTCATCATATTCACAGGTTCCACCCACCCTCAGGGAAGGAGATTATATAGGAGTGAAAGTCGTTGGGGGTCAGTTTATAATTCTGTCTACCACAGGATGCAAGTCAGGAAAAACACCCCTAAGAAATGCACACACCTTGAGCTGAGATCAAAAGGATTAGTGGGAGTTAATTAAATAAAGAAGGAAAGCTTCCAGAGAGCATGTACAAAAAGCATGTAACTAGAGAACAAATATCAAAAAAAAAAAAAAAAAAAGACCAAAGGAAAAGCCAGTGTGTCTACAGCAGAGAGAACAAGAAGCAAGGTGACTTGGAATAAGATAGTTAGAGAGATTAGTAGAAGCCAAGCTATGCAGGCTTCATAGACTCTGTTAAAAGGTTTTCTCTGTCTCAAAAGCAGCGGTCAGAAAATTGGCATGATTAGATTTGTATCCTGAACATACCCCCTCTGGCTATAAGGTGGAAGATGGATGTAAGGAGGTATCAGCAAAATGTGACAGACCACTTAGGAAGCTAGGAGAGTAGTGCAAGAAACAGTGGGGTGGTGTCAGTGGAGATACAAGCAGACCAAGTCAAGAAACACTCAGTAGCTAAAATCAACAGGGCTTCTTGATGGATTAAATATGGGAGTGAGGCAATTATGTTTCCAGGAAATAGACTCTTGACAGATTACTGTGGAGGATGTTTACCAAGGAGTTCTCTTGAAGTGAACACCTGCAAAAGAGAGAGGATGAAAGGAGGACTGCGTGAAGGGAGAAGCTGAGCAGTAATTCAGTCCCCACAAAGGCCTCAGTCAGACCCAGGAGGAGCTGTGAACGTCTTTCAGTCTTTCAGTGTAGTTCTTTGTTCCAGTGAGGGGGTTGAACTTTTATACTTCTCTGCTCATTAGTCATTGGATGCGGGATACCCCCAAAAGGGAACATAATCTTGGATGAGCTGCTTTCTTCAGCTCAGGCAATCCCTGAAGGGGCTGACAGTTGAAAGCTGTCTTCTAACAGCCTTCTCAGCAATTGGAGAAGAAATGCTTCATTTCTGGAAAGGAGTCTGGGCTTTTCATCGCGGCTTCCACCACGGGGATGAAGAAGCATAAGAGAATAAGGCATCTAGGATGATCCCTAAATTTCTGATTCGTGCATCTTGGTGGATGTTATATGTTGTAATCTTAGTGGACCATACCTAGAAATCTTTGGCTTATCTGTCATTCACGCCGCCCACCCCCCTCCCGCTTCCCGCCCTATTAGAGCAGAAGCTACTTAGGCACAGATTGTATGGGACAGCTAGTACACGGCCTTATACCTGACTCCTATCTTGCTGAATAAGTGAGTGCGTCTACTCCTATTTTCACTTCTCTTTCCCCTACATTTTTTTTGCTCCCCCACCCCACATCCTACCGTCATCCAATGTGGGAAAGGTCCAGCAGGTTATCTGAAGCCCCACCTGTGCTGGAGGTGAACAAACAGCAAATCAGGGTCCTCTGGTCCAGGGCTCTCTGATGGGGAAGGCAAGCAGTGCCAGGAGGAAAGGGGGTGGAAAGCTGGTGACGATATCCCCACCCACCTCATGCTTAAATCCTCCTTCAATGACCAAGCCCTTTCAAACCCAGGTTGTCTTCAAAAGACTGTATGGTCTCTGAATTCAGTCTCTCTGAAATCCCCACAAACTCAGACTTCATCCCCAGTCTAATCCGCTCTTTGGGCTAAAATATTAGAAGAGGAACATCCTACGCGAGGAGCTGAACCCACCTCAGTCCTACGCATGCTCGCATCAGCTTTGTTTCCGCTGCACCCCAGTGACCTAGCCCCTTCTGGCCATTCCTGTGGGAGCCTGACGACCCACACAGGCTGCTCCACCTGCGTGGAGAGCAAACAGGGAACGTCAGTGTGTCGGATGAGTATGGGCGCTGCTTGCAGACCACAGAGAAAGCCAGCCGCCTCCTCCCCTCTTATGCCTGCGCTGGGCTGGATTAGAGCTATACCACAGCCTCACCTCACCCCACCTCCGCTTATCCTGGGCAGTTCTCACCACCACCCCAGCCTCCCTCAGCACCCCAGTCAGACTCTTCCTCCGAGCAGCCCTTTCCCCCGAGTCAAATGCTGACTCTCTCGTCGCATCCTCGCACGCTGATTAGGGTTCCTCGGGAGCTTTGGGTAGAAGCCCGGGTGGTGGGCCTGAGGTAGAAGGTGAGCGGACAGATGCAGGTGCTACCCCAGCCCCGCGGTGAGGAGCTGCAGGGAACTACGGTAGTAATAGTGTCACGGTCACTGCTGCCACTGCAGCATAGTACGGTAACCGCAGCGCTGCACGTAAGCTAAGGTGTCTGCGCCGAAGCCAGTGACCCTGCACGCGCGGCCCCCGGCTCCGTTGCCACCTCCACGTCCAACGACTAACCACGGAAAGATGCTAGACCCCACGGCAGCCGCACCCTACACCACTCTTCTTACGCTCCCTCCCCGGAAACCCCCCTCCTCGCAACCTCTCCATCCACCCCCAATCCCCACCCCACCCTGCCAACACACACGCACGCACACACGCTCCCGAAAAATCCTCGGAGCCAGGGACAGCAGCGAAGGGGAGTGGGCGGGAAGGAAATCTCTGAGAGCGAAGATGTCTAGGGAGGGGGAGACCCTGGAGGACGGTAACTCGGGGGGCAAGTCCTGAGCGGGGGAGGGGGCGGAGATCACCTGGTGAGACAGCTGCGGACCGCAGCCGGGGAACGCGAGTCCAGGAGGGGTTCACGGCGGAGGAGAGGCGAGCAGGGGCCAAGGTTGGGGCAGGACCAGTCCCGGCGGGCGCCTCCGCGGAACTGCAGCGAGAGCAGGTGGAGCCGGCGCGGGAGCCGGCGCGGGAACCCGCCCGCCCGCCGAGCCGAAGGAGGCGGCGGCCGGGCCAGGGCCATGGAGCTGCTGAAGCTGAACCGGAGCGTGCCGGGATCCGGACCCGGGCCAGGGGCTTCCCTGTGCCGCCCGGGTGGCCCCCTCCTCAACAGCAGCGGTATCGGCAACCTAAGCTGCGAGCCCCCTCTCATCCGCGGAGCCGGGACACGAGGTGGGTGCCTCCCTGAACCCTTTCCACGAGGTCTTTCCCACTACACCCTACAACGCTGATAGAGGAACCCCACTGCCTCCACACTGCCTCCTCAAATGCCCACACCATCTCCTCAGGACACTCCCTCAAAAGGTCCCCTGACACATTTGTCCCCCACAGCTCATATAACTCCATTTCCAACTCACACTACCTGGTCAGAACCTCCTTCACACCCTGGTCCCCAGGTCACACCCAGAGCTTCTGGTCACCCCCAAAACACAATACCCTCCCCATCCCACAGCTTCCTCCTAGACACGGGGGCAGGTGGGGGGCGGGGAGCGGAAGCAAAGACCTCCCCTTGCCAATCCTTTTCCCTTTACATCCAGTTTACAGAGCTACGATGGGGAAAGAAAGAGAAAAGAAGGCAAAAATAGGAAAGGCAAAGATAGGGCAAAGAAGGAAAAATAGAAAAAGATGGGGGCTGTTTGGGGACGGGAGCCCTCTAGAAGGCCTGCGTGGGAAGTTAGAGTTATAATGTCCTGTGTCATCCACCACAACCCCAACCCCAACTTTCTCCAAAGAGATCCTCAAACTTGAATTAGTCTGGGCGCTGCTCCCCAGAGCTTCCTGTCTCCATTTCACTCATCCTCAAGTCCCCCTGCCTCCCAACTTGGAATTCTCAAGGTATGAACCTTCTCTCTTTCTCTGTCTCCAAATAATGTCTCCAAGTCCCTTCCAAGCCTCCTCTCCAACCAGCCTCTCCTTGGGTTTCACTTCCTTAGAGCCTGGCTGCCCCCTTCATCACCCCATCCCTTTATGCCACCACCACCACCACCCCCTTTAGACTACTTACATTGACCCAGCCCCCAAAATAACTTTCACTCTTCCCATCAGCCAACATCTGTATTTTCTTGATGACCCAGCTCAGGACATATTCCCCCCCCCCTCCCAAAAAAAGAAGATATACTTTTCCCCTTCCTGTACCTTTCCTTTCCTTAAATATTTGTTGGGCATCTGCTATTGTAGTCCCTAAGATAGGCACTGGGGACACTGGGATGAGCTAGATGTGTCTGGGCCCTCATCAGTCCATAGTCAAGTGCAGAGAGGAGATGAAACCAATGGAAAAAAATCACAGTCAGCATGGGAAGTCCCACAAGAAAAGGGACCAAGAACTTCACAGAAGGAACCTGGGAGATGAGTCTCGAAGTTGGAGTTTATTATGCAGAAAAGGAAGAAGTGGGATTCCGGAAGAGGAAATAGTGTTAAGCTGAGGGAAATTATTCCAAGCCCAAAAAAGGAAAGTGGGAATAAATTGTAATTCAGGCATTTTTTCACCCTACAAAATAATGCATGCCTTCACAGACCACTTAGATTTTTTTTTTTCATTCAACAAATATTTATTGGACCAGAGACTGTGCTAGTCACCAAAACTAACTCAGTTCCTATTTCTTGGAGCTCACAGTTTAGTGGAAGAGACAGAAAAATAAGCAGGGAATTGCAGCACGGGGTGCCTTGAGAGGGCTGTGGGAACGCAGAGGAGGAACATCTATAGCCTAGCCTAACCTTTGTAAATCTAAGTTGGCCTCCTAAGGGGGTGAAGTATGAACTGAATAAAAATTTAAAAGATGAAGGAAAGCCAGCCAAGTGAATGAGCAGAAAAGGCAAAAAGCATCCCAAGCAAAAAGGAACAATATGTGTAAAAGCCCAAAGTTTAAATCCATAGCACTTTTGTTCAGTGTGTCATAGTTTCTGGGTGCCTGACATATATACTATAAGAGAGGAATAATGAACACTCAGAATGAAAACCAGCCTAAAGAGTTTATGAAGAGCCTTAGAGACCTGTTGATTTTATCTTGAGGGCAATGGGAACTACTGAAAGTTTCAATAGAACTGCCAGGATTCATTCTATGGTGTAGAGAATGGATTGGAGGACAAGACATGGAAGGAAGGGGGGTGGGATGGCGTTGGGTGAACACTTTAAAAGGCTATTATATTACACTGGTCCCAGTGAAAGATGATGCTAGCTTAGACTAAGGTACTGGCAGTGGGAATGGAGAGAAGTGGATGGATTTGAGAGGCACTTCTGGAAGTTGAATCAACAGAATTTAGCAATTTGTGAGAAATGGAGAGGGAAGAAGAGGACAAGGGATGACATCCACGTATCTGGTTTGGATAATTGAATGGATATTGGTGTGATATAATGAAAAGGATAACAAAATAACAGAAACAGATTAGAAAGAGTTTATATATTCAATCTGGAACCCACTGAGTTTAAATGCTAGTGAGATACCAGGTGGGTTTGCCCAGTAAATTGCTGAACCCATGGGTCTGGAACCTAGGAGAGAGGTATGAGCTAGAAATAGACTTGAAAGGGCTTTGCCTAGAGGAGGTAATGGAAGTTATGAGAATAGATAAAATCATACAAAGATTGTCTAGGATGAAAAAGAAAAGAGGTCCTGGGACAAGACCGTGAAGACCAATATTTAAAAGCCAGAAAGAAGGTCCATAGGGTTGAAGGTGCAGAAGGTAGCAGAAATAGTCAATAGAGCAAAGGACCCTGAGAAAGGGGAATGTGAAGTTATTCAGAGCACAGGTGCAAGAATTGGCCTCTCATCCGGAAGTTGTTACCCACATACAGTGGGATGTTATGCAGGCTGTCAGAAGTTATCCACAAAATCTCTGTTAGCCACACTCACTCAGATATTACCCCCACAGATGCATGTTACCCAGGCTCATTCCAGTGTTACCGGTAGAAATTTGGATATTACCCACACTATTCTGATGTAATCCATAGACTTGAGTGTTACCCATGTTCACTCAGATGCTACCCACAGAAAACCAGATGTCACCCACACTCATATTAATATTGCCCACGTCATTTGGATGTCACTCATCCATCAAACACACTCACTTTCATTTTATTATCTGCACACAATCAGATATTAGACTGAGTGCACTTAAGTAATCTCCAGATATTACTCTCACACATACAGATATTACCCACAAAGACTCGAATATTACCTATGTTGACTCAGGTGCTCAGTTATTTCATTCAATCAGATTAACACCTCACTTAACCATCTTAATATGTTAACATCGCACTTCCATACTCAAATATCATCCACACGCACTTGGATATTACTTCCGTCCTCAAAGAGATGGAGGCAGAGAGGAGAACTCGTGCTCAAGTTTAGAGTCACAGAGGTAAAGGGTGGATGAAGAAGGACAAAGCAGGTGCATCTGTGTGCAGTGTGACAGAGATTCATTCCAGATTCATCAACAAGCTTGTGTTAACACCTCCTATGTGCAGGACTTTATGCCAAGTGCTAGAGATATGCTGGAAAAGAAGAGGATATTGCCCCTGTCCTCAAGAAGCTCATAGTCTAGTGGAGGAGACAGAGAATTAAATTAAACATCATCATAATACAGTGAGAAATGCCATGATAGAGATCAGAGAGAGGAAGAAGGAGGCACTGAGATTAAGATTTAATTGAGACAAGGAAGCAGCATGACAGAGCAAGGAAGCAATAAGAGACAAAGCATTTAAGCGATCTGGAGACTTGGCTTCTACTCTGATTCTGTCCTTTACTTGCTATATGCTCTGAGTAAGTAATGCCACTGCTGGTTTCAGTTTGGGTATCTCTTGTAAATAGTATTTACTTGATGTCTACAATAGCTTCTGAATCAGTTGGTTATTGTTATGAAAAACAGTTTAATTCGAGGCCTATGGCAAATGTCAGCCAATGCATAGGGGCTGCAGAAGGGGAAGTTGCAGCTCTGTGCTCTCCCCGCAACCTTGAAGGATCTGCCCCTGCCCTCTCTTCCTTCAAGCCCTTGTCTCCGTCATGCAGAAACCATGGGTTTGGGTGATTGGGCCAGTTTAATTCAATTCAGTTTTGTTTGGGTCTGCTTGGCCTGTGATATACAGGCCCAAAGATAAATCTGTCTCCCAATATGAATGAGGTCAGCCCTCTGTCTGGCCCAGCAATCCCAGAGTCCCTCCTGTGAGTTCCTACAGCACTTTGTGTATTCTTCAACCACACTCCTCATTACACTGTGTGGCAATTATCTGTTTATATACCTGAGTTTCTTTCCTTCTCTTCATGTTCATCTCTGTTCTCTGGCATAAAGAGAGTCCTCTGTAAATCTTTGTTGAGTAAGAATGAATGTTTAAAGATCGTTAAAATACAAGGCAGACAGTAAAAAGGGTTCTAACAGATGAATAAAGAATATGCATGGGTCAGAAGAAGAGGAGATTAACTCCAAATGAGATGTCCAGAAAGGCCTTATAGAAAAGGAGGCACGTAATCTGAGTCTGAAGGACAATAGTAAATAAGAATTCACCAGATACAGAAAACAAGTTTGTGTTTGGAAGCGGGAGTTGGTGAAGAGCATTCCAGGCTGAGAAACCAACATGAGCAAGGGAGACAGTCATGAGTGCACATAATGCCTTCAAGAAACTGAGTCATCTAGTGGCTCAAGTGGTGGCATTGCAGAGAGGAGGTAGAAGGAGGAAAAGGGCAGCTCTCAGAATATCTGGATGACATGCTAAAGGGTTGAAGACAGTAAAGGATAGGTGAAGGTGAGGTTTTTTTAGACTGTAAGGTCATGATCTGACCTGTCAAATACAACAGAGAGGTCAAATAGAATAGACTAAAAGTGACTTTTGGATTTACCAGTTAAAGCTTAGTGATCTTGGGAAGAAGTGCCCTAACAATGATAGGGGGACAGATGGGACAC